ATGAAAAAAGCGGGAACATTGAACGCAAGAAGCATGCAAGAAAGAATGAACGCATGCATTGAAGACAAGATAAGAGAAAGCAGGAAAAGGACACAGAAGACAAGACCATCCAGAAGTATGAGGAGCGAAGAAGAGTATTGGAAAAAGAACGGGCAGAAGAAGAAAAGAAAACAACGAGGGAAGAATGCAGAAAATGAAAGAAATGATAAACAGGCAACAGAGAGAGAAATCAGGCAAGTGTCATAACTGTGGTAGGCTCGGGCACTATCAGAGCAACTGCAGGGCCAAGAAGGAGGAGGTGGTGAGAACACCTTTAATATTAATAAAAGAAAACATTACGTGTCTTATAATGATAAAAATAATACTCGGAGGAGCAAGAAAGGGCAAGAGCACACAGACGCAGAAGAGGGCCAAGAGAAGGCAGAGAAGGAAGAAAAGCAAGGGAGTGAAGAGATCAAAGAAGAGCAGGAAAAGGAGAGAGAGATCAAAGAAGATAAGGGAAAGGAAGGAAGAACGGAAAGGAAATAGAGGAAAGGAAATAGAGGAAAGGAAGGAAGAAGAAGAATCAAGGGAAGAAGAAATGAAGAGAAAGAAAGCAAAACGAACACAAACAGCTGACAAACTATCCGTAAACAGTTGGGAGGGTCCAAAGAAAACAGAGAAACAAGGAAGAGAATAATGAAGACAAGAACCACGAAACACTCCAGAAATTAACGGAAGAGAACAAAGAAAAGAACAAGGAAGAAAAGAAAGAAGACAAAGAAGGGAACATTGAGCAAGACACATACGAAAACAGGTAAAAGAAGTAGAGAAAGAAGAAGAAATGGACTTCAGAGCGAAAGAAGAGGAGAAAGAGCTAGTCGAAAGAGACGAAAAGAACAAGAGAAACTGAAAGAAATCATGGGAAAATATCCTGAAGAAACAAAAACGCTGGAAGAAATAGATACAGTAATCTGCACGAAACACACAGAAGCAACAGTTGAGACGAAAGAGAGCGAAATAGCGAAAGGAGGAAGCAGCAAAGTTCCCCAAGCACTGCAAGAGAAAGCGGGAGAATTATTGGACCTGTACGAAAGAACAGGAGTAGTACAGAGGAGCAGATCCGAATGGAGAAACAGAGTGTTCGTAAAAGTTGAGAGCACACCAGACAGTAAAACGAAACTGAGACGACTAGCAGACACGACACTGGTGAACAAATAGCAAGGCGAATGGAGTGCGAAATACCAGACACGAAGCTGAAGATAGAAAGGATGCAAGGAGCAAAAGTGTCCACAGTAATAGACCTGAAAGATGGTTACTTCCAAATAAAGCTAAGGGAAGAGGACAGACACAAAACAGCATTCAGGCTGATGGGAAGAACATGCGAATTTTGCAGTATGCCGATGGGATACATGAATGCACCGGTGATATTCCAGAAGATGAGGGACGAAGTACTAGAAGACCTGAGAGAGAAGAACAAAGCAGCAGTGCATGGACGAGATAGCAGTCTACACAAAGACAGAAGAAGAGCACATGGAAGCAGTGAACGAAGTAATGAAAAGACTGAAGAAAAACAACCCGAGAAGAACATTAAGAACACGAGAGTGTGCAGACCGGAAGTAAAATACTCGGAGTGAGAATCGATGGAACAGCGAAGAAACCGGTGGAGATGAAAAGAAATGAAGCACGGAGATACTCGAAGCCTGAGACAGCAAAACAAATGCCATCATTCTTCGGGAAGATGGGGCACGACAGAGACTTCACAAAAGACTTTGCAATGCTAGAGATACCACTGCGAGAATGCATAAGGAATAGAGACGAAAAGACCGAGAAGATCGAATGGAATAAGACAGCAGAAGAAGTGTATGCATTGATGAGAGAAAGCTTAAGACAAGCAAGAGGACTGATACTACCGAGCTACAAGAAAGAGTCTATACTGACAGCAGACGCAAGCGACTGTGGAATAGGAGAAGTGCTAGAGCAGAGAACGGAGAAGGGAGACATACCGATAGCGTGGAAAAGCAGAGCACTGAAGGACGCAGAAAGAAGATATGGAATTACGGAGAAAGAGCTGCTGGCAGTAGTATGGGGAGTTGAGAAATTCGAATACCAGCTAAAAGGAAGACAGTTCCATGTAGTGACAGATCACAAGGCGCTAGAAGAAACAAGAAACAAAAGACTTTGGACACGGAAAAGGAAGAATGCAGAGATGGATGGAAAGACTGGGAGAGTTTGACTTCACAATCGAATACAAACAGGGAAATGCGCTAACTGCAGCAGACACACTGAGCAGAATATGCGAAACGAGACTAAAGGGAGAGGTTGAAAAGAGAAACAGGTCAGACAGAGCGGAAAAGAGAGCAAACGAGAATAAGAAAGCACACGACAGAGAAAGACGGAAAGAAGCACGGGACTGGAAACGGTGGGCAACAGCGAGAATACCAGAGGAAGGAAACAGAAAGAAATACTAATAGAAGCACACGAAGAGACAACACACAAAGGAACGCAGAGGATAGTAGAAAAAGCGAGAGAAGCAGGACACGGCTGGAGAGGCTTGTGGGGCCAGGCACAGAAAATAACGAAACAATGCGAGATATGTATAGTGAATAATAGGAAAAAGCAGCAGGACACAGATTGTAGAAACAACGCGAAAACTGGAAATGGTAGGACTGGACGTTATGAGAGAAGAGATAGAAGGAGCAGATATGCTAGTAATGATAGACTACTACACAAGAGAAGCAGGTGCATACACACTGAAGAACAGAGCTACGGAAGAAGTAAAGAACAAAACAGGAAGATTCATAATGACACATGGAGCACCGGAAACATTGGTAATAGACAATGCAGAAGAACTAGGAAGTCAGGAGATGGAGGAATTCTTAATGAGAAAGAACATTGACCACATAAGAACAAGCATAGAAGCACATGCCTCAAACGGAAGGATAGAAAGATACATACGAGCATTGAGAGAAGGACTTGCGAAACAGGACAGAAGAAGACCGCTGAAGGAGAGAATAAAGAGATAGTAAAGAACTGTAACAGCACGTGGCACAGTGGGATAAGAACAGCACCAGAGAAAGCAGGACGAGAACAAGAAAAGGTAAGTGAGATAAATAAGGCAGAGGGAAGTGCGCAAAAGCATACAAACTCAAGAAAAGAGAACAGTTCTGGGTAGGCGAGCAAGTAGAAACAGCAAAACTTGAAAACTTAAAGCAAAAGCAGAAAAGCGGGAAAGGAAGAGTCTCCAATGGCGGAGTAATAGCAAAGAGATGTGGGAATGATACATTTAGTGAAGACGAGAGTGGGAAGATTAAGAAGAAGACATATAAGGAAAGAAAAGGACTGCAAGAGATACGGAAGCCATTGGAAACATGGAGGCTGAAGGAAGAGGAAGAGAATAACAACAAGGACAGCAAAATAGGGGGGATGTAAAAGAGAAATAGAAGGAAGACAGAATGACCTCTGTCTTGCCGGGGGCATGTTGAGTATAAATTAATTTTAATAAAGAAAAGGATGGATAGTTTACATTTTTTATTGCACTGTCCACTCTATTATTCTTTTATTGTGTGGGAGAGAATAAACACACAGGAAGAATGAATGAGTGGAAAAATGGTGAAAAACAATAATGGCTGAGAGAGGG